TCAGATATTACCTCTATTTTGGATGGGAGGGGGGGCTCACTGAGGGTTTGTCTCAAGAGTAAATATGGAGAAGTAGGATTCAAATTCAGGTTCACCATATTGAGCCCCTGGCCTTGCCCCTTCCACATGAGAGCTAAGGCAATCTAAGACCTGTGTAATGTATTCATGCCATGAGGGAGTGGGCCTAGATGCCTGAAAAGAACCATCACAACTGTAAAATTCTATGTTCTGTAAAAATAGAAAATATTTACTTAAAAATTGTATTTTTAAAATTTATATATTTTAACATTCTCTGGGGTCCATATTATGGATGTACATAGGGACTTCCATAGGGAGCCAGTCTACAGAGCACATTCTAGGAGTACTGAATTCAATAGGTCTCCCTTGTCTATTGGCATTTGACATTGATTCAGAGTAGATATGTTTGTAACAATGAGATTCATACTGTCACTATTATAAATAGTATCACTTTAAAGCTATAAACCTAATAGTGCAAAATGCAATTAAAAGAGGAAACAATAGTTACACTTAGGTTTTGTTCTGAATCAAAAACTTCAGTCTCAATGGCTATTTAAGTTGGAAACATATTACATTGTGCAAAAGCTAAGTTGCAGAAAATTATTTGTTCTCCTGGTTGTTTTTAATTTCATGTTCCTGGATAAGAAACAAATAATCTAGCATTTTTGAGCACCTACTATGTGCCAGGCACTTTATTATATTTTATCTCATTTCTTCCTCCATCTTCTGTGAGGCAGGTATAATTTTATTTCATTTTTACAGATTCAAGGAAAAGACGCAGGCAGGTTAATGAACTTGCTCAGAGTCACACAACTAATAATGGAAAAACTTATGTTGGGACCCTCATTGGTCTGATGGCAGAACCCATGCTTGCTCTCCATCCGCTGGTGAGTCTCAGATATTTAGTGCACATATAGATCAGGTATAGGAGGGTTTATTGAAAGATGATTGCCAAGGCTCACCCCACAGTTTTAAATTTGGTAGATCTGGAGTGGGGCCCAAGAACACTGTGTTTCCAACAAATCCCCAGGTGAAGGTAACACATTTAGTTCAAGGACCACACTGAGGACCAGTCTCCTGCATCACGCTCCCTTCCAAGCACCTCTTTGAATTCATATGATAGACACCTTTGTCTTACTGCAAACATAGTATTAGAAAGCTAGTATCATTAGAATCTTTTGGTAATTTATAAATTTTTTTCATTTGTTCCAAGAAATCTACATACATATATTGAACTTTTGTTTTTTAACCAGAATTAGCAATTTAAAGGTGCCACCAATATTAAATCACAGTTAGTCAATGTTGCAATTCATTTCTAATAACTAGATCTACTGAATTCCTTTTATTTTTCAAGCCATGAAAAAAAATTAGTGAGAAGATACTGTTTATTATTTTTTGTATGCTGAATAAGATAAATTTTGTCCTTAGATAATATATAGTCAGATTTTAAAAAAAAACATATAGACTGGGACATTATTCTATGACTTGTGTAATCATTGCTAAAGATCAATCTTCAAAAGAACCTTGTAAGCATCTTTCACACACACACACACACACACACACACACACATTAAACCTCACTTTAAATGTCATTTGTCCTGACTTAGTTTCCACATCACTGGGCTAGAAGAATAAGAGTTTAGCTCTAATGACCAGTCCATTAGAATGGACTAAATCTGCCCCCTGCCTTCTCATGTTTGTTCAGTGAGTAATTACTAATTTAAAAACTCAGTAAAAATACTGCTTCTGCATTTTTCATTTCTGGTTTTCTCATCAACTGAAGTATAGGACTCCTCTATGGGGTAAAACACTAACTAGAAGTTTTAGCTCTCCACCTAGCAATTAATCATAGCAGGAAAGCATCAATCAAAAAAAAAAAATACTTGGGACCAGCAGTTAGCATAATGCTATGCTGCTGGACTCCCACATAGTCGACCGTGGTTTGCGTCCTGGACCCGGTGGCTTAAAACTCACACCGGGTGCGTGTACGTGTGTGCCCAAGATCCCGAGAGGAGTACAGAGGAGAAGGGATTGCAGCATGGCCATCCCCCGCTGGGGGTGATTTCTCGCTTTCTGTCTCTCTGTCTCTCTCTGTTTAGCGAGCGCACACGCCCTATAGCAAAAACCTCTCAAAAACCCTAAAAAAAAAATCTCCAAAAAAAAAAAAAAAAAAAAAAAAAAAACTTTAGCTTTTTAGATGACATTTTATTTAGGTTAGAGGACCAGACAGCATTAGTTTTAGGTGGAAAGCAAAAGGTGTTAAGTTAGTGCTTCGAGTTAACCTACAAGGAAAGCAGCTCCCATACTGCTGTTATGACTGGTTGCCACAGGTAGGACTGGCCCTCAACAGGATGCCGAGACAGACAGAGGACAGACTGGTTTTGCTACAGATACTGGGAGGTGATGGTACTTTTAAAGCATTAGATCTTCAGTTGGGCAGGTGGATGAATTATGTACAAAGTCATCGTTTTGGTCATCTCTAAGTCAGTTGAACAATTACATCTGACGTTTATGCTTAAGCTAATTTCCTATAAGAACAGGCCTTCCTAATCCTGTCCAACTCTTGGAGAATCAAGATTTAAATATCAAGCAATTATTTTTGGTCAAAGAATTAAGGAAAAAAAGGGGTTGTGTTATGCTTGAGTATAAACAGGTTGGGTGCTTGCACAGCATTCCTGGTCTCTTCTTCCCATTCTTTCCTTCTCAATTTTTAGAAAAAAATATAGAGGCCTTAAGTGGAAGGGCTGAATTTTATGCATGTCATGCCCAGTGTTGCAGCTGAAGCATTCACGAATCAAACAATCAGATCTCAATTCCTCACCTGCCAAATCCTCTCCCCTCCACATGCACAATCTCTGGTGAATTCATTCTGAATGTGCCTGGAGCTTTGACTGGCAATCCTTACGAAATTTGTTGCAGCTGCAAAAGTGTGTCCCAATATGGAAATAAAAATCCCTAAATAGTCCTCTGAAACAGAGTGGGCTATTTATGTGACTCTTTCCACTGCT